TGATTATCAGGGTTAGTTAGTTAGTTTACGACGGGCTGTTTTCCGCAACTCCACGTCTAAGCGCGTATTTTGCGTGTGGGCAGGAATAATGTAGTTATTCGAGCCATGACATTTCCCCGAAGAAATTCAACAGTCCTTTGATGTTGCAAGTAACTTCGGGGAGCGATCCCGACGTGCCGAGATGTTTAGCCCTGTACGAAGCGACTTCTGGACATGTCAGCAACACGTGAGCCGCCGTTTCTTCCTCTCCCGTGCATGCCCTGCACAGGGGGCTGTCAGTAACACCTATGGTGAACAAATGTTTGTTAAAAGAGCCATGTCCTGTGATAGTACTTGTTACTATCCTGATCTGTGGCTTGTTCAGTCTCATTAGAACCTTGGTTAGACGACTGTTTATTTCAGGCACGGCCTCCCTAGCTTGTCTACAGTCTACAAATTTTTTCCAAAGTTGAGCGTGTAAATTATGGAAGTATCTACGTACCAGTGAACGAACATAGCCAAAGGGGATTGTTATTATTGGTTCCGGCCCTATACTTGCCAGAGCCTGGCCAGTTCATCTGCTGCATAGTTGCTCTAGATCCACTGTGTCCCTTGATCCATTGCAGTCACATTGTTGTGCTTACATACCTCATTCAATCGGTGATGGCACTTGTATATCAGTCCCGAGTTCGTCACATTGCAACTCAGAGCTTGTAGTACCGCCATACTGTCGGTCAGTATTCTGATGGAGAAGTCTGTCACCTTCCTAGCATCTATTGCTATGGCCGCTTGGATGATACCCATGCATTCAGCCTGAAAGACTGTGTTGTTGGTAGAAAGCCCCAGACCCCACACCTTCATTTGTCTTAGAGCCATCTGTGAAAACTTTGAGCTCTCTTAGACCCAATCCTTCCAGATGGTCAGTCTCCTTCAATTGTATCCTGTACTTCTTATTGAATGCAAATTGTTTTGGGATCCTATCATACTTGGCTTGTAAGATAGGAATTTTTGAATACATTCTATCAATTATATCTGTATGGGGGACTCTACTCTTACTTACAAGATTTAGGGTCTTGAGTCTAATGGCAGCTAAAGTTGCTTTTTGTTGTATATGTAGATGAAGTGGTGTTAGCTCCAGCATACCCTCCAAAGCTGCTGTTGGTGTAGTCTTTATGCAGCTTGTGGCAGCCATACAAGCCAATCTCTGGTAACGCTGAAGCTTTCGTATAGTGGTGGCTTCATTGGTTTTGGTCCACCATACCAGAGAGCCATATGTGATCATGGGCCGAATTACAGTTTTGTACAGCCACAGTATAATTTTTGGCGTTAAGTCCCATCGTTTACCAATCATGTTCCTGCATTGCCAGAAAGTTAAACTATCTTTGCTGATTTTGTTTCCTATGTGTTTATTCCAGTTAAGTTTACTGTCCAAGGTAAGACCTAAGTATTTTACCTCAGAGGAAAGCTGGAGTTTTGTGCTGAAAAGACTTGGAAGATGATAGTTATTCAGCATTCGTTTTTGTGTGAACATTACTAGAACCGTTTTGTTTGGATTAACGGTTAGGTCATATTCCCTGCATCATAATACGGAGAGCCGCTTGGGTCAGGTCGCACATAATACTTGCTGTCTTTCCAGAGACCAGTATTGTCAGATCATCTGCATAACCGACTGTGTAGAAATGGTTAGCATTTAATTTGCTGATGAGTTCATTAATGACCATGTTCCACAGGAGAGGTGAAAGAACCCCACCCTGTGGGCATCTTTTCATAATCTGAATTTTCTGAGATTCACCAGCAATCTTTATTGTTCGTGTACTGAGCATGTTTACTATCCAGTCAATCAGTGCCGGTTCAATATTATGTCTACTTAGGGCACCTTTTATGCTGGAGAAATTTGTTCTGTCAAAAGCACCTTCTATGTCTATCAAGGAGCCTAGACATATTACTTTGTTTTGGATGGCCTCTTCAATCTTTGTTATTAGCTGATGAAGTGCCTGAAGTGATTATCAGGGTTATATAATGGTAAGTACAAATGAACCCTCTAGTTACTAAGTTGATATCGAAGATAGACCTATAATAAGAGATCGATTGGTTATCAGGCTCAATTGAATATTTTTACAGGTTGTTTATTTGCTACATGTAAAAAATTACTAATTTGTAGCCATATCTTAAAAGGATAGTAAAAATTTGCTGCATTTTTTCGAATTGGCTTTTTTTGTTACGAAATGCATTCGCTTACCCACCTTGCAGACACAGACAAGGACAGGTCGTCAAGTCAGAATCGCACTAACTAAAACCCCCAATATATCGACCGAGTCGTGGGCACGATTTTGAATGCTTATGGGGCCCCTAGGGAATAGGGCACCATTTTATTAATAATGCATAGTAGACCATTTCCAATTAATAGTGTTTGGTTCTTCTTCTTCTTTTTTCTTTTTTAAACGTTAAAAGTGTTTTAGAATTAATATATAACAAAAAGCATAAGTACCGCGGTGTAAGGAGTTTTCCACATATTCTTACCTATTCCAGTTTCTGGAAGAGTCTTCTCATAGGGACTTTATCGAAAGCCTCTTCATAGTCGCGATAAATTACGTCAATAGGCTCTCTCTTGTTGAAGTGTTTGCTTCATGGTGATAGGCATAATAATAAATCAGAAATCGTGGAATTATGTGGAAAAAAACAACAGGAAGTTTCTAATATGTTTGACTATAATTTTCTCCATAACCTTGCAGACCACACTGGTCAAACTGATGGGTCTTCAAGGATTATGCCTGACAAAGTTTTGAAGCACCACATTGGGATGCATACAATAAAATCATTTTTATTTAATATAGAAGATTACATGTAATACTTATTGAAAGCCATTTTTTACTTTTACCACAGGTTCGGAAAAACCTCTGTCCTGGGAAGAACCAGCTCAAAATACAGCAGGACTTTTTTTAAAAGCACAATTTACAATATAATATTTTTATAAAATTGTTATGAAAACATTCAACAGATAAAACAAGTATACAGCTCACAAATCTATGAAAACGGATGAAATCAACAAGATGCGAACACGCATATTGCGCGGATGCAATTACCACAGATTAAAAAATGATACGTAGAATCGATTACCATTATGATCGATTACAATTCGATTTTAGTTTTTATATTTTATTGAAGTGAAACTTTTTAGAATCGTTGTGATATTCGAAACTCGATAAAACGAGAAAGCGGCGCTAATAAGAAACAAATATATAAATATATCTATAGGATTTAACCTGCGAGACAATGAGATAATACAGTTTACAGAACAATACATTATATAGTTTCCTTTTATCTGGGTCTCCGCTTTGTGTGGTAAAGCACCGCATGTATGGTTGAGGAATATAACTTAAGTTTTAAAATAAAAAAATTAACTAAGTTATTAAATAAATAAGATTAACAATATTGAATAAAATTATCTTAACCAATCCATTCATAAGAATCTATGACTTTATAACTTACCGATTTATATTAAATTAGTAGTAGTTGACATACCACCTTGAACTAATCAACTTTTGTTCCATAAATGACTTGACTTTACCTATTAAATGAAGTAGATTATACGCTATTACGAAGCAACTTTTCTCATAATTTACTAAATGTTTTACTTCTATCGCGTGTGAACTGCACACATGTTTTTTTAATTGTACATTGGTGTGTAAATTCAACATATCATTTTAAATACAGTCATTAATTTGAGCCGATTTTAACATATTTTAAACTTAAGCAAATGTTTATTACACATTATGTGTGATTGTTTATTAAATAATATGAATAATTAAAATAAACAATATATGCATGTATTGTGAGTTATAAATCTCTTGTTTTATTTATTATTACCGCAAACACAATTAAAGCAATAACAAAGGTATTTTAGCAACTTTCCGGTACTTTGTGCACAACATAATTGTGATGTTTATGTAAAAATAATCCCTTGAATGTTACATAACTTTTAGGTAGGGGGATACGTAAAAGCGTTACGACGCGTTACATTTGGGAGGGAGGATCAAAAATCTTCAAAAATTGCGTTACGTAACACTTGAATGCCCACAAATAAGTTAGATATTAAATTACTGCATATGACAGGATAGGTTTTTTTTATAGGATAGGGTGGCAAACAAACACACAGTCGACCTGATGGTAAGTGGTTGCTGATCTACATCTATGAGTATCCTTGATTACAAATCAAAATGCGGTTTTCACCTGTGACAACTAAGATGGAATGCCTCGCTTCCAGTAAAAAGGGTCTCCAGTTCTCAACACTCACCATACAAAACACAGCAGTATTAAGCTACTATTTTATGCTGGTATTCTGTGAGAGAGTGGTTCCCCGGTTATACCGACCCATTCATGCTACAACTATACTACTAATATAACTGCAGCATGGCTCTACTGCATATAAATTCAGTCTAAATAACGCCATATTATTAGAAACCATTCAGGCAAAGCCAGAGCGGGACACCAGTTATAAATAAATATTTCAAATATTTTCTCATAAATAGAAAAATTCCAATTAACCCAATAATATAATGTTATAAACGATATATCATTATTAGCAGGTTTTCGCTATTGATACTGTATATGTTGACCGTACGGGCTCTATGAGCCGCCATATATAATCCCATTATTTATCCATACGAGCTATACTTAAAGGTAGTAAGAATTACGAATGCGAAAAAGAATGAGAAATCCTTGTTTAAGTATATTACCTCCTTGTAAAGATTAAAATTAAGGTATATTGTGATCTTCTTATATTGTGATCATTCTGTGAACCTAGCATAAAGACTATTATTTAGACTAGGAATTTACATTAATGGTATCTTGAAATTATGTAATAATATTTCTGGATGTATGTACATTTATTTATAAGGTCTGTTAAATATTTTACACAAGGGATACAGATGTGTAAACAATGACTAGATGTTTGAAGACAAAATATCTTTTGGCAAACTGCCAACTACCTCTAAGCAGAGCACATGGAAAACATTTGTTACCTTGTTCCATACATATTTCCACTGAATGTTGCTGTTTCTATAAATTCCCCCTTTTCAATGGCAGCAATCATATCTTCTTTATTAGTGAAATGATAATGTATACCATCCTTTTCACCCGAACGTGGTGCTCTAGTAGTATGCGACACACTAAAGCCAAATTTTTCAGGATATTCTTTAAGTAGACGTTTAAGCAGAGTGCTTTTTCCGGATCCGGATGGCCCGCAAAGCACCAATGGTCGTGGTCCTTTTTGTACCATTCTTGCGAAAACTGAAAATTAATTATAATATTATTTAATAATAAAGCCGCTCATAGGTTAGTTAACTAAGATATTTTTAAGTTTTTGACTTACATCGTATAAAATTCGTGGTACCGTTTTATATTTCACCCACTTAATCTTTAAACTTATGTTTTTCTCACAGTATTATTTTGGTAAAATTAATTCTTTGTTATTGATCTTTCACCGCGAACCTGCGCCTGCGTAGCGTAGTGGTATGAGCACACAAACTAAGAGGCACAGACTAGAGAAACTGACGTTTCTAAGAGGATACTACCCACGCATTATGAGCACAGTGACACACAGTGACATATGAGACTGTATGAGACACAGACTAACTCTAGTATATATTAACGGTGGTTAATATAGCGCATATTATAGCGCGCTATCTCTCCATTACACATAGCGCGTGTTATGTAAGTATAGTCAACCAAATCTAAGAAATACCTTTTGACGTTTCACAAATCAGAATACTGGGCTCACACAATTTAAAATAACCATTTACGTAAATCCGAAGAATTATAAAGTTATCTATGTTTCATTACAACATGTATAGTTTTTTATTACTAATTTAAAGAATCTTTTAAACAAAGCTAAATATTAAAAAATAAACAGTATCAACTTTTTGTACTTGACGTCGTTTCAACGATATGTCGCTATGTACATTACCGTAGTGTTTGAATGATTAAAATTAATTGTTATGCGAATAATTGGCAAAAATATTACAATAATCGGTAAAAATATTCAAATAATCGAATCATTAATTTTTTTATGTATTATTTGTTTAATTTAATTTTTATTTTTAAAATTCCTTAAATTATATTAGGCGCTATTATTGTTACGAGCTTAAGGTTCGTGACAATAAAAACTGCCAATTCAATTACCAAAATTGAAACTTTAATTAGCGAACACCAATTAAAACTTAAATCACCCTAATAACTAATCACACTTAACACTTTATTTCGCTTTTAATTTAATTCAATACTGACCTTTAAAGGGCTTTATATAGGCCTTTTCCACCGAAAAATCTATAATGTTCCAGCAAATACCGGTCCAGACCGTCTAAGTGTAGAAAATTCGGGTGTGGAGTTTTCTAGAATGCTTAGTTCTTCCATTCGATACTAGATGGCGCTAGTGGGAGAGTTCTAGAAGGATCTTGACGCTCCTATTTCTGCTACTTGATACCAGATGGCGCTAATAATCACCCGCCATATACCGGGCATTAATTATGGCCCGCAACATTATAATAGAATATATAGTCTTTTAGTGCAAAACAAAGTCTAAATTACGAAAATATTTCGATTTTATATTAAAATCAATGCTATAAAATCACCAAAACTGTCAACTTTAATGTCATTTTTTTGCGTGGATAAAGACTTATCTATTTTAAATATTTAATCCAAATACAAGTAATGTTAAATGTCCAGAAAAAAATTTAGCTCGTTTTATTTAGTCAATTTATATGATTATTTTAAAAATACTATAAATCATCACGCGCAGACGCCGTCTAATTCAGTACGCATAGACTAATATAATTACCAAATACTTTAAAATACCGTAGGTTTTCTATAGTATTTGATAACTTAGGGGGTCAAGGGGTGTAGCAAGGCGTACAGCGCGTGCCCCACGCCTTACACTTCAAGTTTTCCCCTAATTAAAGCTAGTTCTGTACCACGTTGTACTCGAATATTTTAATAACATGACTTTTTCATAATAATTATTATATAATTATAGTGTTAGAAGTAAAGATCCCTTGTACACCCCTAACCTATATGGATTAATGTCTAAAACAAAGCTTCTGAAAAGCTGTTTTAATTGGTCCATAATAAATGGGTGGTAAAATAAAATTAATAACACTAATTTTGTTGCTTATTTAATAAGAGGGCTATAATGCAATTATAATTTGATTTAAAGGTTTTTGTTAACATATAGCCTTATCAAAAATAGTTAGTGGATAACAGTTATTGGCTGTATAATTTTTTTATAGGAAAAGGGTGACAAGCGAGCACATAGTCCACCTGAAGGTAAGTGGTTGCTGTGGCCTATAGAAATCTACATCTATCCTAGATTGTGATTCAAAATGCATATACGTTGACAGCCTTAAGGACTAAGATAGAATGCCTCTTTTTCAGTAAAAAGGATCTCCGGTTTTTTACACTCACCATACAAAACACAGAAGTATTAAGCTGCTATTTGACGCTGGTATTCTGTGAGAGCGTGGTCCTTCCCCGGTCGAGCCGACCCATTTGTGCTACGATTTGTGCTATATAATATAGCTGCAGCGTGTCTCTACCACTACCGCTATTTATTTTAATATATTTTTTTATGTGAAGTCATAAGATTGGGTCCCTTGTTAGTGGCCTTATCTATAAATATCGATTGCACTCAATCAAGCTTACGACAGTCGTGGTTGGATCACGACTAGTACTGAAGTTACTTGCGGTTGGTTTTATAGTTATATATCAATTGTATAGTTGTAGCACGAATGGCGTGCTACAACTATACAATTAATACAGCTGCAGCATGGTTCTACCACGTAAAAAAATTTAAAATAATTTTTTTATGACATTGGGTGACAAACGAGCACACAGTCCACCTGATGGTAAGTGGTTGCTGTAGCCTATAGAAATCCACATTTATCCTCAACTAAGAATCAAAATGCAAATGGGTTGTCACCCCTGAGGACTAAGATGGAATGTCTCGATCCCAGTAAAAAGGGTTTGCGGTTTTCTACACTCACCATACGAAACACAGCAGCATTACGCTGCTATTTTCCGCTAATATTCTGTAAGACCCTGGTCGAGCCGACCCATTCGTGCTACAACTATAATATAGCTGAAGCGTGGCTCTACCACTATTATTATTTAAATATTTTCTGTTATAATATAGTAAAGGTGTTGTTATTCTAAACCTGGTAGCCCAACATCAGGAATTTCGTTTGATTCATCCATTTTAGTGCTTCGTACAATTTTGAAAGCAAGGGTGAAATACGCAAGCTGGATTCGCAAGTGCAATACCAGTGCTTAAATTTGAAATAAATTCACGCTTATTTTAAAGGGATTAAAAACTAGCTTCTAGTAAATGTGCACGATTTCTTTTAAAACTAATTAAACAATATATTGACATTATATTTAAACAGATAGTTTTTTGTGCGTTCATAGACTTGGAAAAGGCTTATGAGAGAGTGGACATGAATGTGTTATGGCAAACACTGAACTCATATGGGTTGAGCGCTAGTTTGATACAGGCATTAAGGTCTCCTTATAGGGACTCTAGTGCTTGTGTCAGGATCAATGGGGTCTACTCGGACTGGTTTGGCATCCAAAAAGGTGTCAGACAGGGCTGTGTATCTTCCCCTTGGCTGTTCAACCTATTTATGGACAGGTGTTTGCAAACTTTGAAAGATGAAGAATGTGGGTTAAGAATGGGCGAGTAAATCGTCAAATGCCTTTTGTATGCCGATGATCAAGTCATATTTGCGTCATCGGCGGCTGAGTTGCAAATGATGGTTACATTAATGAACTGGGCATTAAAAGAAAGGGGAATGAAAGTGAACGCAAGTAAGACGAAAGTGATGGTTTTTGAAAGAGAAGAAAGCAAAACGGTATGTGAAATAAGAATAGAAGGAGAGTTAATTGAGCAAGTGGATGAGTTTGTGTATTTGGGATGTGTATTTAGCAGGGATGGTAGATATGATAAGGATATAGAGCGACGAGTAAATGCAGGGAATAGAGTGAATGGGGCACTACACTCTGTTATGAAGAATCAGAATGTGTCAAAAAGGCACGCATGGTAATTCATTATGCTGTGTTAGTCCCTACTTTAATGTATGGTGGTGAAAGCTGGGTGTGGTAGAAGAAGCACGAAAGTAGAATAAATGCTGTAGAAATGCGGTCTTTAAGGAGTATGCTAGGGTTGAATCTGAATGACAGGGTGAGAAATTGCGTGATAAGAGATAAATGTGGTATGCAAGATGATGTCGTGACCAGGATTAAGAAAGGAATGCTTCGGTGGTTTGGTCATGCAGAAAGAATGAGGAAAGAGCGACAAAGCAAATTTATATGGCAGACGTGAATGGCAGAGTCGAGAAGGGACGCCCTAGAAAAAAGTTTATCGACCAAATTGGCGATGTTTTGAAAATGGGCCACTTTAGAAGTACCTTTAACCGACGAGCATGTATGCGTAGATATATGGATGTAAAGGAGGCGAAAGAGGTATATCAGGATCGTGCCAAATGAAAGTCCGTAGTCTCTGCCCACCCCTTTGGGTGACAGTCGTGAGTGTTTATGTATGTATTTAAATATAATATGTACGTCAAACGCGATTAAGCAATTAAAATCACAATTATGTAATAAAAAAGTTACCTCTTTTCAAGGGGCAGTAAATTAATTAGATTTTTGTGTTTGATTGTTAATCAACTTCTACATCAAACATCGTTTCATAAATTCGTACATATGTTTTGTTGAGCCAAATCTTATAAAATTAAATAATACTAGTTTTTACGGATTTTATAGCATATATTTAACTTTTTAAATACCCGACGTTTCGAGCATTTTACAGCACCAATGGTCACGGGGGGGAGGGGAGTCCCCCCAGTATATATATATATATATATATATATATATATATATATATATATATATATATATATGTCGGAGAAACACAATTCTCCTCGACATGATCATCGGTGGCCACGGGTCTAGTGGGCGTCATTAGCGTTAAATGCGAGCACCAAACAAAGTATTCACTATATTTGCACAATTTAATTAAAGTTGAACAATTTTTAAAGTCACTAAAGGAATTACTACTTTGCATTCACTTATTTTAAATTTAAAACTTTTAATATAAACAAAGTACGAGCAGCAGTTTCGCGATACCGATCTCACGACTTCACCGTACGAACACCAAAAAAGGAATGAATCTTCCCCACGATCCACAAACACAAAAAAAGTATAGTCGTGCGGTAACCGTCAAAATGGCGCCTCGACCCCACTCGAGGCTTAGCCTCTGCTCTGATTGGTCTTAACATGTATAAAATACAATACAGTAACTTTAATGTGAATAAATAAGATTCTACACAATAACAAAATCTAACAAATAAAATAAAATAAAATAAATATTTATCAGAGCAATATTTTTAGAGAACAATCGATATCACGCGATGAAAACCAGGTTGAAATGAGTAAAATTGCTTAAACACCAAAAGTGTATCTCAACATAGTTAATAACTCTACTAACTCTCCCAAAAAAATTAAATAAAACTGACCTTCCACTTGCCAGGGAAGTTAATCAAATTGTTCCAGCCCAATCTATGTCATTATTTTTAACAGATCCGGAAGTAGTTAGACTCATAATTAGTAACCTTAAATCCAATTTTGCTATGGTATGGAACGACATTTCACCTCGTTAGCACCTCACATAGCCCATATATGTAACTTTAGTTTTTTATATGATGTCCACTATATAAATCAGGAGAGAAGTCATCTCCATCAAATTATAGGCTCTATTATCATCACTTTCTAAAATACTAGAGAGGCTTGTAAATAGACGGCTAATTAAGTACCTAGAAAATAACAAATTTCTTGCTGATAATCAATATAGCTTTAGAAAAAATCCTACACCCGAAGAAGCGGTTTTTAATTTGACCACTAAAATATCACAAGATTTAGATGAAGGTAAAAAGTGTTTAGGAGTTTTCCTAAATTTGCAAAAAGCATTTGACTCTGTATCTATTCCTGTCCTTGTAAACCGTCTTTAGAAATTTAGCATTCGAACAATAGAATTGGACTGGTTTATAGATTATCTCTCCAACAGATACCAACGTATTATAGGTACGTATTAATGACTGCTTCAGTGACACCGCTATCTACTCATATGGAATTCCGCAGGGCATTACACTGGGACCAACCCTCTTTTTGACATACATTAACGACTTGTGTCACTTAAATATTCGTGCCACAGACCTTTTCATGTTTGCAGATCATACAGTCTTACCTTTTCATGGTCCGAGGTGAGATACTATTAAAAATTCACTGAGGAAGGACTTTATAAGGTTACTAGTTTCCTGGAAGACAATGTACTTACATTAAACACCACTAAAACAAAATTTCTATGTTTTTCAAAAAACGCTGCTTGCAGTCCACGAAACGAATTAAAAATAATAATTCACTCGTATCATTGTAATAGAAACTTTAACATTCATACATGTGAGTGTCCCACAATAAGTAAACCCGACACAATTCAATATCTCGATATAATAGTTAATGATAAGCTTAATTGGGCTCCACTTATTTCTTTTATTTCTAACAAAATCAGAAAGTTTATATATGTCTTTAAGAATTTAAAAACAGTTGTAAACAGAAAACTATTACTACAAACGTACAAAGCGTTGTGCTAAAGCGTTATCAGTTATTGCATATGCTCTGCTAAAACACATCTTATAGAATTAGAGCGAGCCCAAAGGGCTGTACTAAAAGTAATACTTTTCCTTCTTTACAGATATTCGGCAGAAATTGTATATAAGTTAACTGAAATACTAAGTATTCGCTAATTATTCATATATCATTATCCGTATTTCATAGATGTAATATTCCGCAATTAGAAATTTCAAATGGAACTGGTCGTATATCCCCAAAGTAAAATCCATAATCGGCAAAAGGAATTATAATTACCTAGCTCCCAAGTTATATAAAACAGTGTGCACAAGAAAGGCTTCAAATCATATATTTAAAAGTATGTTATAAGTTATAATATATAAAGGATATTATATTATGATTGGCTTAAAGAATATGATTATGATCAATGCGAAAATTTAATAGTTCCATACGAATAACTTTATTTGCAGTGCAACAATAAACAAATCTGATCCGGATCTTGTAACTTTGGAATGATTGGGGCTGACCAACCAACGCTATATCCATCTATAAACTGCCCTATATTCACTGCAAGTAAGCGATATAATTATATTAAAAAACTCCTTAAATAGAACTATACATTCGTTGAAAAATGTTTATTTTAATTACTATATTATTATACTAATAATTATTATTTACTATACTGTATTAATAATTATTTAAAATATTAAAATGTATTAATAATATGTAATATTACATATTATTAATATGTAATATTACATATTTTTGTAATATTTTCATGTATAAAATAATAAAAATTAAAATATTGTAAATTTATAATGCATATAATGTAATGAAATCTATTTTTATTTCTAGGAAATTATCATGAAATCTACAAACAATATGAAGAAGTTATTAATTTTGAATAATAAACACACACGCACGCACGCATGCACACGCACGCACACACACACACACACACACACACACACACACACACACACACACACATGTCTATAGTGTTAAACTGAGTATTAAATATATATATATATCAATTTCTCTAAAATACTTTTGACACAAAGAGTTACTGAATGGGAAGGAACCGACTCCTGAAATACAGGGTATCCTAGTTTGGGAGTCAGGGCTCAATGATGTTGTATGAAATAGAATAGTGTCAAATAAAGATATTATTTTTATTATATTTATTATATACAAATATTTTAATTTATTACCGGCTTCCCTCCATAATTCACAAAACATTAACTTTAAAATGAATTTACAATTTTATTCACTTTAAACGTAGAATATTTAATTTTTTGAACAAAATATTAATTCATAAAATTGTTCAAAACGAAATATGCATAAACTCAACTCCCGTTCGCCTCGCCCG